ATTAAAAATACTCCAGGTCATGAAGTCATTGTTTGTTTATATGTTGATGACATATTGATAATGAGCAAAAACATAGCAGATATAAATGCTACTAAGCGCATGTTGGGTAGCAAATTCGATATGAAAGACTTAGGAGTTGCTGATGTGATCTTAGGAATCAGAATTCACAAGACTCCACAAGGTCTAGCATTATCACAGTCTCACTACATTGAAAAGGTACTTGACAAGTTCAAGTAATTAGATTTCAAAATTGCCAAGACTCCAATTGACGTGAGTTATGCACTTCAAAAGAATGAAAGTGAAAGTGACTCACAAGTGGATTATGCAAGAGTATTGGGAAGCTTGATGTATATCATGAATTGTACACGACCAGATATAGCATGTGCTATTAGTAAACTGAGTCGGTTTACAAGTAATCCCAATCACATACATTGGATGGCAATGAAACGAGTTTTGGGGTATCTCAAACATACCCAAAATTACGCTTTGCATTATAACAAATATCCCTCCGTGATCGAGGGATATAGTGATGCAAATTGGATCACTGGATCATCTGAAGTTAAATCCACGAGTGGATATGTTTTCACAATTGGGGGTGGAGCAGTGTCTTGGAAATCATCCAAACAAACGTGCATCGCCCGTTCTACAATGGAATCTGAATTCATAGCTTTAGATAAGGCCGGTGAAGAAGCTGAATGGCTCCGGAATTTCTTGGAAGATATTCCATTTTGGCCCAAACCTTTGGCACCTATTTGTATACATTGTGATAGTCAAGCGGCAATAGGCAGGGCAGGGAGCGTTATGTATAACGGAAAATCTCGTCATATATGATGGAGACAAAAATACCGTTAGACAACTACTCTCTAGTGGTGTTATCACAATTGACTACATAAAGTCAAGAGATAACTCGTCAGATCCACTTACAAAAGGCCTATCTAGAGAGGCAGTTGAAAGATCATCAAAAGGAATAGGGTTAAAGTCTAGGACAAGTCATCATGACGGTAACTCTACCTAGCAGACTGGAGATCCCACGAGCTAGGTTCAAAGAGATCAAACAAAGTTATGAATGACGGTTCAACATTATCAAATAACTCAACCCATTCTTGTAATGAAGACAATGTTCAGAAATCGAGGTAAAGCATTAAGGATTTTTGATGAGTCAACAAAGCTTAAAGGTTTTTTAATGATTTGCTAAGTCTGGCAGGATATGACCAGATAGTGTGTCTATACGATTACACGTTTAGAAATCACATATGTGAGTGTGAAGTGTAAGCCGTTTCAAGGGGAATGAAAGTAAAGGCCCATTCTCTAAGCACTCATGACACCAGGCGGTGTTCATGGCTGAAACGAATACAACCGTGAGAACCATAGATGGTTAAGGATTTATTGTGTGACTTATGTTGTCTAGGTATACAACAAAGCTCGACGGTTCAAAGACATCAAATCTACCGATTGACCGAGTATATCCGATATAAGTTCACTACGGAAAGTTCAAAGGAAACCTACTTATCTAGATGCAATTAATTCTTGCATGTAAAACACACACTCGTCCGTGCATTCCTTTATTTTATAGTCATTCCCTATTCATGTGGAGATTGTTGGGATTTTAAGCTTGTGTAGCTTAAAGAGGGTGAATGAGAAATGGAGAAAAAATAAAATATTTGAGTTTCCCTTGGGAAAGGTTCATTGTCCCATATCGGAGAAAGAAAAGGCTTTTGATGGGTATATATATAATTGCTCTTCTTCTAGCTCTTAAAGAATTAAGAAAAAGGCAAGCCTCGCATCGTCGTCGTCGTCGCTCGCTCGGCTCGGCTTCGGCTTCGGATTCGGATTCGGATTTGTTCAAAGATCGATTGATTGATTAATCTTTTTGGATAAAATTCCTTTCAATTATTTAATTAATTAATTAAATAATTAACGAAAAAATCAATCCGGAATAACCCATGACCCGCGACCCGGTTCGGTCAGGCTCGTTTTCTTTTCCGAATTATTTTAAATATATTTTTCCCGCAATATTTCAAACACCCATTCGGCTTCGGCTTCGGATTCGGATTCGGATTTGTTCAAAGATCGATTGATTGATTAATCTTTTTGGATAAAATTCCTTTCAATTATTTAATTAATTAATTAAATAATTAACGAAAAAATCAATCCGGAATAACCCATGACCCGCGACCCGGTTCGGTCAGGCTCGTTTTCTTTTCCGAATTATTTTAAATATATTTTTCCCGCAATATTTCAAACACCCATTCGGCTTCGGCTTCGGATTCGGATTCGGATTTGTTCAAAGATCGATTGATTGATTAATCTTTTTGGATAAAATTCCTTTCAATTATTTAATTAATTAATTAAATAATTAACGAAAAAATCAATCCGGAATAACCCATGACCCGCGACCCGGTTCGGTCAGGCTCGTTTTCTTTTCCGAATTATTTTAAATATATTTTTCCCGCAATATTTCAAACACCCATTCGGCTTCGGCTTCGGATTCGGATTCGGATTTGTTCAAAGATCGATTGATTGATTAATCTTTTTGGATAAAATTCCTTTCAATTATTTAATTAATTAATTAAATAATTAACGAAAAAATCAATCCGGAATAACCCATGACCCGCGACCCGGTTCGGTCAGGCTCGTTTTCTTTTCCGAATTATTTTAAATATATTTTTCCCGCAATATTTCAAACACCCATTCGGCTTCGGCTTCGGATTCGGATTCGGATTTGTTCAAAGATCGATTGATTGATTAATCTTTTTGGATAAAATTCCTTTCAATTATTTAATTAATTAATTAAATAATTAACGAAAAAATCAATCCGGAATAACCCATGACCCGCGACCCGGTTCGGTCAGGCTCGTTTTCTTTTCCGAATTATTTTAAATATATTTTTCCCGCAATATTTCAAACACCCATTTTCAACAGCCATGACTGTTTCTAAAAGGTTGCAAACCTTTTCAGAAACATTGCCATCAACTCTATAGATAGAGTTTAAATCCGAGAATCTTTCCTTACGAAATTTTCTGAGCTTCTTCTTCTTCTTCTTCTTCTGCACAATATTTTTCAGTGTGTTTTACGACCATTGAGTAGTTCGCAGTTCATCAGAGATTTGGTACCTATACACTGGTGAGTTAAATCGTTCTATCCTGGGAGGATATATTCCAGCACCTCGGGTACTTGAGGGAAATAATTTCCTTAAGGACACACTGTGTATTCAGTGAGCTCGATTTATTCCTATACTGTTTTCTTGTTTTTCAGAATCTATTTCGTTAAACAAGTATTACTAACTTTCTGTTTTATTTTTTCAAAAAATTTAATTGTTTATTATAGCAATATAAAATAATAACACATAACACTGCAGTAACTAACTTAATTACTCGATCCGTTCACTTTTATTTGGCATGTGTACTAAAAATATATTTTCATTTTTACTTGTCACTTTACGCATATAAGAGAATAACAAAAAAAAATTTCTGTTATACCCACGTTATTTATTACTCATTTCAAATTATTTTCTCAAATCCAACAAAATATTCATCAATTAATATGGGTATCATAGTAAATTATACACTTTATTTATTATTTCTTAAGGGCCGTAAAAAGTCAAAACGTGTCAAGTAAAAGTGAACGGAGGGAGTATCACATAATCATGGACTCAATAATTAGCTGCTAACCCAATTATAAGCTCCTAAGTATTCCAAACTATGCAAAAGGGATGACACTAATAAGCTCTTTCGAAACTTCAGGTGGTAATTAGTTTATTAGTTTTAAAAATATTTACATGAACAAGAGGCTAAGATCTAACTTCATAACGCCAAAGATGAACACTCTCATCTACTATAATGATAACTTTTGGCTAGATAAAAAAGAATAAAGCATAAGTATGAAACTTATTATAGATAGTTATTACTTACTGTTGTAGGTTACTCAATCTAGCGGTGTAAGAAAAATTAATTACATTGTATACACAAGTTAAAACTCTTTTGGGATAGATAAATGAAGGAATAGAAAACTGAAATAGAGGTGCCCTCACTACTTCAAATGTGAACTCCATTATTTATTTACTTGTGTATTGTAGCAAACAAATTGACACAAGGGGGAAAATGAAATACTATATATTATCATTCTCTTGTTTTTGGATGTAGTACCGAAAGTGACAAGATTTGGGTCAACGAAGAACAAAAAGTAAATGTAGTTAAGTTCGTTTCATTTGTGAATTGTGTAACTTAATTTCCAAGTAGTGGCTTGATGTAGACGTCCAACCAACCATAATTTTCCACCCTTGGACTTGGTCTTTCTTTCTGCCAAAGGTTTATCTCACCAATAAAATTCTCAAATTTATTAAAAGAAAAGACAAATGTATGGCGATACTTGTTTACATTTGGTTTCTCAAGAACCCGACATATAATACTAGAATATCTTAGTATCATAAAAGAAAAAAGAAACTATGTATAACTTCCATATAATATTAAAATCATATTTTTTTTAAAACTATTTTAAATTTTCCGTAAATGGCAGAAGTCATAAATACCATGAAGAAACCAATAATTTGGTGTTGAATTCAGACAAACGAATTATCTTTCATCATAAGAGATGGAATTAAAAATAATTGGTGCTTTCTTATCTCATGCACAGCACTCTCATCCTTATCCAATATTAATTACTTCATGGAAACAAGTATTTTCTTCTTTCCTATTCCACACGAAAAACGTATTTAGGGATTCTTCTCAAACTCTGACAGTATAATATTGAAGATCTCAGCTCAAATATGGAACACCTTCGTTTATTATTGTTTTGTTACTTTCCTCTTTCTTTGCTTTTTTCTTTTTTTCTCTGTTTTTAGGCACATCAAGATCTCATTTCAAGCTTTAATGAACTTTATTACGAAGACATACAAAATTTTGCAAACGTAAAAAAAAATTAAAAAAAATAAAATAAGGTAGAGTATATCAAAACAATCCAAGCCTTTCTGATTGTGAATATTATATTAGTTCTAAATATTAGCATATAACCACACATTAGTGAGCCTGAGGATTAATTATGAAGAACTACTTGGTAGGAAGCGTTTTAACGAATATTAGCTAGTAAACCTACCGAATGCAAATCCAGATTAACCGATACGAGATGCCTAACAAAAAAAAGAAAAAGGGAGGGTGGGATGACGAGGGAATAGTATGGAACGAGAAGATCATGTGAAATAAAGAAAAATGAATGCCAAAAAGTGAAAAGAAGAAAACAATGAGAAAAAAAAATAGATAAAACCATTGAAAGGCTTTGCTCAAGCGTGATTTCTTACACCTAGCTAGTTTATTAAAACAAAACGACATTTCCTAGTTCCTACTATGAAGAAGATTATTAGTCAGTGACATCCATAATCTTCAATACTTAACCTATACTATTTCCAGAATTACTATATCCTGCAGGAGAACCACTCTCTTGAAAATATTCTTGCTTTTGTTCCTTATTTGCAGCTTCTTCATGAGAGTAATATCCATAATGAGAACCCTCTCCTATTGAACTTTCAAGAAAATCACCTGTTTGTGGTCCAAAACTTAAGTTAATAGGACCCCTTTGATTCTTGATTGGATAAGTGTGACAACCAGTGTATTGTTGTACAACTGCTCGAAAATTCGATATGCTGGCATTAACAAGAGTAGTAGGAGTTTTCTTAGAAGCTCTTGATCTCCTTTTCACTGGCTTTGATATCATACTAGTTTTAAGGCTATCACCATTTCCAGAGGAATTTTCAGGACTTAAATTGGAATACTGATAATCACTACTTATTGTAACATGACTTGGATAGGTAGTAGTGGTCATGATTGTAGAATCTTGTGAGAAACTTTCATAAGGGGTATTTGCTAGTTCAAAATGATCTGTTTGTTGGTAATATGGCATTTGGATATCCATATTCCATTGAGTAGGAGAAGTTGGGATAGTGTTGTTATTCATGTTGTTTGTGGGGTTTATGGTTAGGTGGATAACCTCTCTATATAGCTCTCAGTGTTTTTCTTCACTAGCCAGTTTGTCATAGAATTATGAATCAAATGCTTTGGCTTTTAAGATCTATACAAGACTTATTAGTCAAAGTAAGACACTTTTGTCTTGATGTTTCCTTTTCAACTATAAGACAATCTTGACTTTTGACCATTCAAATGTTGAGGTAAGAGAAGTAAATTCTCC